GTTCCTACCGTGCTTATCAAGCACCATTTACATGTTGTTGGAATTCGTACCAAATGAAGTGCCGTCGAATGTGCTATTTATCAGTTGCCACCGTAAACTCGGCCATATTCTGAGAATTTGTGTAACTCACGTTGATTTGCCACAACCACCTCTAAAGCATCTGTACCAACAATGACGCGTTTCATAAGACACGACGTCGGCTCCAAGACCACTGCAAATCGATTCGCCTCGTGATGTAGAAGCACTGTTGCCTTGTTTGCAGTCGAACAAAATGCCGTGCCGCCGATTGTGCTGTTTACCAGTTGCCATCGTAAACTCGGCCATATTCTGAGAGGTTATGCGACCCACGTAGGTATTGTGAAAACTTCCGGCCACATAGGACAGCAAAAATATTTCCATTTTAAGTAAAATTTTATGACTGGAGGTTGTGTTTAATGATCCGCGTAAATTATTGCCCGCCGCTGCCACAACAGGAGAAGGTGGCTTAATTCTCGACCTTTAGTTGCGGTAAAGCGCATCCCTAACCATCCACGGCCCTAGTTTGGGGTCCCACGTGTTCAGGCCTTCTAGATGCAAAGCACCGCATTAAGGGACAAAATCACTGGTTGCTCAGGCAACGGACCACGCGTCCACGCACATTCTATAAGGTCAGGTGGGTTGGAGAAGGAGTTGAGAGCACAAACTTTGGCGATCACCCCCTAGTGTGTGTGGCAATACGCATGCTCGCAGTTGACTGCCACGCGCAAGCCAACTGGCCTTGAGGTGGGGCGTGCCAACCAATGAGAAGCGCCGTGGACGGCGTCAGCTGATGGCGTCCACACGCGTACACAAATTGACACAATCACATAAACGTACGAATACACACACACACACACACTGGAGGAGGTACACACGCACAGACCGCTGCGCGCGCACACACGGTGCAAGGGTACAGGCAGTGTGGATGCCAAAAGCGCACGTGTGCACGCACGCACACACGCACGCAAGCGCGCTGCGCACCAACACAGAAATTATGGTAATGTCGAGAGATGTGATTTCCCATCGCATTTGCGCGCGCGTGCGTGTGTGCGTGTCGTTCCCAAAACTCGAGCACTTCGCCTAGTGATATCGGATATTGACGGTGAGGGAGATCAATGCGTGATCGCTCTAGCGTTTCACATCGAAACACCAAAGCCACGGCAACAACCTAAGGACCCACCTTGGCTTTGCCATGGCAACTGAAGGTGAGGACGAACTCGCCGACTCGGGTTTCGCTCTGTCTGACGAGGAAGACGCCGTCGGAGAGGGCGGGAGGCGGAAAGGGCGGCGGGGACCTGCGCGGCGACGAGCCGTCCACTTCAGAAGTCTGTCCGAGCACGAAGGCGGTGGCAGCCACTCGTGAAAGGGTGCCGTGGTACCAGGGGTAGTTGGTCAGCATCTTGTCGCACACAAGGGGGGCGGCGTTTGAGGTGGTGGTGGTGGTGGTTGTGGGGTGCTGGGGTGGTCCCCAGGCCGTGTTGGAGGTCGCGGGGCAAGCCTGCTCAGCTGGCGGTGCGCTGGGTGGGGCTGCTACTCGGTGGAAAGCGGCGGGTGGGCGGGAGGGGAGAGGACACACGAGGGCTGCAAAGGGACAGACAACAACGTCGTCGGGTCTAGGCGGGTGAGATGTAAAGGCGGTGTTGATTGACCACTTACTGCCAGCGCCCTGAGAGTTTAGGGATTGGTTTGGCGGTTGCCTTGAGTTGGGGACAGAGGAGGCGGAGGTCTGGGGAAGGAGAACCGGGGGGTGGTGGTGGTGGAGGTGATGATGGTGCGGAGCTGAAGGTGAGGAGGCAGCCGGATCGATAAGGCCAGGCCCAGCAGAGGAGGTGGTAGAGAGTTGCCGAGTAAAATCGTCACCGTTAGGAGGAGGGGGGAATGGGGAGAGTAATTTCGACTTCGACCTGCCAACAACAAAGATCGATTAAAACACGCAAATTTCCGCGCTCCGTAGAATCGAAAGAGAGAAAAACTCACGTTAGCACAGGTGGAGGGGCCATTTGGCTTTGGTACGGTGGTTGGTGTTCCAGCAGAGGAGCGGCTTCGAGGCGCGGAGAGTGGTCTGTAGTGACGAGCAATTCGGCGCCGCTTCCACCGCTGCCGTGGTGAAGGTGTCCGGGTGAGGGCAGAGCGTGGTGGGCGGCAACAGCGGCCGGATTCGTCAGACAACGACGCAGAGGCGGCAGGCACTTACGGATCGCTGTCAGCCAACAGGACGCCTCGCTCGACGATGACGCCTCGAAGATTTTCTCGTCACCCGACTCGGTCTAGTGGGAAACAAGGCCACGGTGCATAACAGACGTGGAACAGGAAGGAACCAATTAAAACTGAAGGTAGGAGGGGGGCAATCGGATTGGCTGGAATGAGGGCGTTACCTTGAGGAGAAAGACGTAGTTGCGGAAGTCTGTGAGTTCTGCCGGTCGTAGACGTCGAAGGTCAGCAATCAGACTGCACGCAATGCCATAACGTGGACAGTTGGACTGAAGAGAAGAAGAACCGAGTTATTCGATTCAATTTGGCGCGACAAATGTCAGCGGCTGACTGGTCGGTCCTAACGAGAAGACTCCATTTTAAAGATTTTACTTAAAATGGAAATATTTTTGCAGACTTATGTGGCCATGAAAGGATCGCACGCAAGATTTCACAACACCGAAAGGCAAGTCTACGTGAGTTACACCAATTCTCCGAACACGTGGGACCCCAAACTAGGGCCGTGGATGGTTAGGGATGCGCTTTACCGCAACTAAAGGTCGAGAATTAAGCCAC